GGCAGGGTTTATATTTTTAAATCAGGGTCCCTGATTTCCAGCTTCAGCCGTTTCCAGCATCAGCCGTGACATTTATTATTTTTGAATTTTAGTATTTTTTAAATTATTTATTAAATTAATCATGATTTTTTTTTTTTTAATTAAAGAAATTACTTCAGCATGCTGCAAGTTTCTTATATTAATCGACAAGACAAATTTCCGCTGCTCTTAATGAACTAAATAACTCTACTAACCCCAAACGCCCAAGTATCAACAGCGTAGCAAGAGATTTTGGGCTTCCTGAAGCTACCCTTCGACGTGCAGCAAAAAATGGTAGTTTCCCCAAACGTCGTGGCCCCTCTACTATCTTAACAGAATATGAATAAACCACCTTGTTGGCTATTGCATAAATATGCTACAGCTTGGGTTTGGTTTAACTAAATCTGGGGTTAACCATTGTGTAATGGAAATAATGAATCACAATAAAAGACCACACCCATTTGGAGATAAAGGGCTAGGTCGGGACTGGTAGACCCGTTTCATGAGAGACCACCCTGAATTATCATTCTGTACCCCTCAAGAATTATTCGAAGCCTGTGCGCAAAGAGCCAATACCACTATCGTGAAAGATCATTTTGATAAACTTAAACAAATCATTAATGAAAACTCACTTACTGCGCTGCAGGTTTGGAATATAGATGAAACGGGGTTTGTTCTTGTACCTAAATTAGAAAAAGTTCTTGCAAAAAAAGGCTCACGTCAGGTTCATAAGGTTGCACATGGATATTCTCATGAACATATCTCAGTTGTTCCAACAATCTCAGCCACTGGATCATACATTCCACTTTTAATTATTTATAAAGGTTCTAGCACAATTCACGGTTTGCTACAAGGTGCACCTCCTGGAGCAGTAATGGGTTTTACAGACACGGAGTACATGCGCGAAGACCTTTTTAAAATGTACCTTACCCATTTTATTAACTCAATTTCCCCAATTCGCCCAATCTTACTAACGCTTGACGGTCACAAAAGTCATGTTAGCTATTTGTGTGTTGATTTTTGTCGCCAAAATGGAATTCTTCTTTATGCATTTCCACCTCACACGATGCATATTTTACAACCATCCAAAATTCCTTTTGCAAAATTAAAAAAGGAATTTGGGAAACAATGTGATAATTATCATAATACTACTAGCAAAGTAGTAACAAAACATACCTTTGCACAACTCTTTGGTCCTGCTTTTATTAATACTTACACGCTATTAGCTATCTGTAATGCTTTTAGGGCAACAGGAATATGGCCCTTTAACCCTAAAGCTATTAGCCCAGACTGTTTGAACCCTTCCCTAGCAACAGAACGATTTGATATTATGCTTTCGTCTAGTCAATCTTCACAATCTTCACAACCCATTATTGTACCTTCGTCTGATCAACCTTCGCAACCTATCATTGTACCTTCGTCTAGTCAATCTTCACATCTCATCATTGCACCTTCATCTAGCCAGTCTTCACAACTTATCATGTTAATCTCACAATCGACTCCTAAACCAAATCCTCATTATACTCGCACAAATTTCACCCAATTAGTAACAGAAAATGAAACACTTAAAAATGAGATTGAATTACTAAAAGCTCAATTTACAGCAACCAAAGAAGAATTAGAAACCTATAAAAGCCCTGGAACAAGTTCCCTACATTCGGTTCTTAGGTATAATTTTCTTCGTGCCTCGCAAGCTGAAACTTTGGATATTCCTTCAGGAATTCGACAAGAACTTGACCCCTCTCCTAAAAAAAGAAAGACACTTCCATTTGCACAACTTCTCACCAATAATGAAAGTTGGCAAAAGTTGAAAGAGCCGAATAAAGAAGCTGAAAAAAAACTTGAGGAAGCTAAACAGAAAAAAGAATTAGCGGCCCAGAAAAAGATCGAACAGCAGTGTAATTTGGAGCAAAAAAAGGAAGAGCATGAACGAAAAAAGCGAGAAAGAGAAGAGCATCAATCTAAAACACAAAAAAGTGATAAAATAAATAAATAGAATACTTAGAATATTTGAAAAATAAAAAAAATTATGTTGTACGTATGTACATACGTACGTAATTAAGTGAAAAATTTTTTTTTCAATTTCGTCACAATACCTCCCACTACCCTATAATCTGACTTTTGTGTTCCATACACAAAACGATCTGTACATCCAAACTGATTTGCTAAACCACGGTAATTTATATTGAATCTGTTCTATAATGAGCCACGGTTTATATTAAAATAAAAAAAAAAAATTTTATATGTTAAATTTGAAGTTTTGTTAGTAGAAATTTTAACTTCGTCACAATACCTCACCTTACCTTATAAACCAATTTGTATAGTATAAATTTAAATAAAATTCTCATTAATTTTTACAATTATTGTATAGAACACATCTACATTGCTGTGTAAATAGTAAATTATTTTTTAACAAGAACAAGCATTAGTAAAGCAGTTAGTTTTTAACAATAACAACAATTTGAATGATAGTTTTAAGATGCTTTCTTTGGTTGATTATTGCTAAATAATTATAATTTATTAGCTTACTATCATATAATTGTTACATAATAATTTATTTATTATATTTACTAAAATATTATTGTTTTTATTATTTTGGCTTAAAAATTGATCTAATTATTTATTATTTGTTTAAAGCATGCTTGTTTTAATAAAATAGTTTTGTTTAATAGAATTATATTAAGAAAGTGATAATCTAAGGTTCCAAGTAGCTTAATTTTGCTTACTGAATACTAATTTTCAAGCATCCCATACTTGATATAATTAATATTTGGTTTTGTTAAATGATTATATATAATAAAAACCTTTATTTTTGTTAATATCAAATATATAAATTTTAACAAATTTACTAGGCTCAAATGTTTATTTATATTTACTTTATATTTTTCTTCTATTCTGCTTTGTATAAGCTCTTAATTTCTCTAATGTTTAAAATTGCTAATTATCAAATTATTTCATATTGTTTAAATGATAGATGGGTTAAATTTGTATTAATTGATAGCTTTAAAATTTTTTTGAATTAATATTTTTATTTTTTTAATTTATTTTTTTAATCTACTGTAATTAACTTTGATTTTATTAGTTTGAGACTGTCACTTCTCTTTTTCTTGCCAAATATAATATTGATTTTCACTTGAATCATTAATTTAATTGATAATTTCAATAATTTTAGAGCTAGTATATTTTTAGAACACTCTTCAATTTCAAAATTATATAATAATTCATAAAACTCTTATATATCATTATTATTATTGTTATCTTGTATTTTATTTGCATTATTCTGTATTTATTCTGTATTATATCTGTATTATCTTATATTTTATTTACATTGTCAATTTTTTGTATTTAGAGTTTGGAATCAGATTTGGTTTTTAAACCTGAATTTATTTTAATTAGATATTTTGTTTTAATTTAAGCTTAATATTCAAATTTATTTAAATCTACAAATTGAATCTAGTTATTACTCTTCCTTATAACTCAAAATATATTTCATCAAGCTTTAAATCTACTTCTTACAACTCCTTAAAATATATTTCATCAAGTTCTAATTTTGCTATTTCACTATCTATTTAAAATATTGATTAGAAATTTTCAGTACTAGGGCATGATTCTTAATTTTTTATTTTTCAATATATTAGCTAAATTAATATTATAATAAGAAGCTATCCAAATACTAATTTATAAGAGATTAATTTATATGCTATATAATACTGAGTGTTCATAATCTCTATATAATTATAATAATATTAAAATTTATTATAATAATAATAAATAAATAATTAGTGTACTGTTAAAAATAATAATGTATAAAAAATTAAATAAATAAATAATAAAATTAAAAAAATTAAAATATAATATATAACAAAAATTAAATAAAAAATAAATAAAGAATTTGTTATTTTATATAGTAAAGTTAAAATTAATAATAAAACAGGAGGGAACGTACCTAAAAATAGAAACATGTTACACAATTAATTTACATCATAATTTATACATTATAAAGTACTTTTTCACGAGGCTTGTGTAGCCTATCTTTCTTATGAAATGTAAAAAGTCTATTA